GGTGCTCCACACCAGCTCTAAAACGGCTGTGTGGAGCCACAGTGGAGCCACAAATCAGCCTGTGTGGATACTTACAGTGACCCCTTGAGATACAGAAGCTAGATGCCCTAAAATCATTAGTACAAGAACAGCTATGAGCCCTTGGAACACCCCTGTAGTTGGTGTAAAAAAAGAAATCTGGTAAATGGAAGTTGCTCCATGACCTGAGAAGAATCAATTCGGCAATGGAGGGCATGGGGGTGTTTTGCAAGGTAAAATGCCTTCTCCTACAATGATACCTGCCTCCTGGGACATCCTGATTGTGGACCTAAAAGATTGTTTTTTCACTATTCCACTTCACCCAGACAACACCCCAAAGTTTGCTTTCACAGTGCCTTCCATTAATAACACTGCACCAGTGGAACGTTATCAATGGCATGTACTTCCACAAGGAATGCAGAACTGTCGGAATCTGAGGTACTGATGATCCCCAGATTGTAGAAAGTCTCTGTCTCTCAGCCCCGCTGCCAAAGCAGAAGCCAGAATTGGTCTGTGCTGGTTTCCAGGTTGTTTATTCTGTTTATCTCTAACATGTTCTGCTGCCCTGCCCAGCTCTGTCCTGCCGGGCAGTGTGTGGGGCTCTGCCCTCAGTGGGATGTGACAAACATTAAATACCAGAAACTCCCTGGGCTGGATTTACAATAACGTGCCAATATCTGTCACCTACGTTGGACAGTGTGTCCCCAGCCTGAACCAACAGAAAAATGCCAACACCACAGTGAAACATGGAGGGCATGAAGAAGGAGAAAAAGGACAAGGCACACCCAATTTCCTCCATCTTGTCCCCTTTGGACCCCTAATCTAGAATCCTAAAATTTTACTTTTGCACCTGTACCACACTTAATTATTACTTATATCAAACAGTCAGAGCTTGTAATTTATCCTGTAAGATTGAAAACTCTTTTCCATGGCCAGAGATCACAGCCAGTGTCTCTGGGGCTCTGTCCAGGGGGGTTCCTGACCCCTGCCAGGGTCCCAGTGCAGCCAGAGGGATGCTCTGGATTCCCACACAGAACAGCCCCAGCGTCTGTCCGTGGAACGCTGCACAAGCACTCTCATCCATGACAGAACAGTTTCCAGGGGCATACTGTTACCACTACTGGATGGTATTTCGGAACTCTCACAGATCCAGCCAAAACTGCTGCAAGCATTGAAATCATTTGGGCTGCAGGTGGCGACAGAGAAAGCGCAATAGCAAGCACTCTGGAAATATTTGGGACTTAAAATGATTCAAACTGTACAGCCACAAGCAATTCAATTTTCAACCAAAATTGAGACTTTAAATGATGCACAGAAACTTTGGGGTACTATTAACTGGGTCAGACCGTATCTGGGAATAAACAGTTCACAATGAGCACCCCTTATCTGACCTCCTAAAAGGAGACCCTGAATTAACTTCCCCCAGAAAACTAATCCCAGAGGCAAAAGCTGCTCTCGAAACAGTAAAGCAAGCTATCACAAACAGACAGGTCCACTGGATATGCCCAGAGCTGTATATCACCATATTCTTTATCATAGTTGACTCTCATTTTACTGGTGTTATTGTGGAACACACAATGGCCTGACCCTTTGCACTTTCTAGAGTGGGTGTTTTTACCTCACCAATCGAAAAAGATGGCTCCTACCATCTCTGAGCTAATTGCACAGCTAATCATTAAATGCCATCACAGATGTCTGCAATTGAATGCAAAAGACCCTGCATAAATTATTATTCCCATAAAACAAGAGGAATTTGAGTGGAGTCTTGCTAACTACACAGCCTTGAAATGCACCCTTCAAAACTTTACTGGACAAATCACTCACCACTTACCAAGCCATAGATTACTAAAATTAAGTGGTGAAACTACACTCCCTCTAAAACCTCTAAATAAATATCTGAACACCCCTTAAGGGTGTTGTGGTGTTTCCTGATGGCTCTAGGAAAACAGGAAAGGCCATTGTGACATGGGTAGAAACATTGGAGGGACATGAGAATGGATCACCTCAAATAGCAGAGCTATGGGCTGTAGCTTTGGCTTTTCAACACTTTCCCCACTCTCCCCTAAATGTCGTAACTGATTCTGCGTACGCACAAAGGTTAGACCTGGCACTACTAAAAGAGATAGATAATGCACAACTGTTTAAATTGCTAAAATTTCTGTGTCTAGCCATGCAGGCCAGGACTTACCCGTACTACATCCTACACATCAGGAGCCACACAAATTTGCCAGGTTCTATCACAGAGGGCAATACCAGAGCAGTTCTGCTAGCTAGCCCTGATTGGGTAGCACCACAGCCAGACATGCTGGCGCAAGAAAAGGCATTGCACAATTTTTTCCACCTAAGTGCTCGAGCTTTACAACAGCAATTTCAGCTGCCAAACGCTTTCCAAACTTTCCAAACTTTTCCAAAAACACAGATGCTCATAATATTGTTAGCATCTGTGCTGACTGTCAAGGTCACGCTGCACCACTGCAGATGGGCGTGAGCCCTCATGGACTACGTGCTTTGCAAGTCTGGCAAACTGATGTCACACACATCCCTGAGTTTGGCCATTTAAAATACACCCATGTCTCAACTGACAGCTTTTTCTCAGTTATATGGGCTACTGTACATAGAGGGAAAAGAGGATGGGATGCTATTGCACACTGGCAATCAGTTTTGCAGCTTTGGGCATTCCTCAAACCATCAAAACTGATGGTGGCCCTGTATACACTTCACAGAAAACCAGGCAATTTCTACAGCTCTGGGGTGTATGACACCAAACTGGCATCCCTCATTTACCAACTGGACAAGGGAAAGTGGAAAGGGCACATGGTGCCTTAAAAGATGTACTTAATAAACAAAAGGGAGGTATGTGTGACCCCACAGAGTGGAATAACTAAAGCTATATACACATTAAATCACTTAACAGTATTAGGAAAATCCCAGAACGCAGTTATGGTAAATCACTTCTTATCAATGCAGTCATGATGCCCAGCTGCCCAAACCCAAGGTAATGGTAAGAGACCTCCTTATCACTGCATGGAGGGGTCCTTGGGATCTCATTGCCTGGGGTTGGGGATATGCATGTGGGGCTGTGTTTCAACAGACAGTGAGACACGTTGGGTACCTGCCAGATGCATCCAGCCTGCACTGCATCCTGCTGGGGCCACAGACAGAACCCCCCTGATAAACCCTGTGCAGACATCGCAGGGCCGTGTGATCAGAGTGATTGATGACTACCTCATGGAAATCTGGGACTGCAGTTCACAAAACGACTTGATCTGTTTACAGATTATTTCTCTGTTTACAAACTGTTTCCTTTGTCTGCAGATTGTTTCCTAGTTTTCAAGTTGTTTTTTTCTTCTTCTTCTTCTTTAATAAGGTTTAAATGAATCTTGTTCTTACAAACTGTTTTCATTTTCTTCAAGGGTTAAATGGTTTGTTGTTTTTGCAAATAAATTGTAATCTGTAACCTAATGCCTGTGGCTCTCCCCTATCAGGTCCTGGACATAAATGCTGCAGCTATAATGCAAATCAAAATTTATAGAACAGAAAGGGTGAGATGATGGTGTCACAATGCCAGCCCCTGGGCTGAGTGACAAGAGTTTTGGCCAATTAGATCTCTCAGATGACTGCAGGCATTTCAGTGGCCCCGAGTGGATCTCAAACCAATGAGAGCATCCAGACTGGGCCTTTCAAATGCCATATATAAAGGAGGGCATGGAAAATAAAACTCTCTGTTGCCACACGAACATCAGGGTGAGGGGTCTCTGTCTCCTGCACCCCTCACCCCCCACACATGACCTAACACAGTGGCAGATCCAGCTCTGGATCACCTCCATGCAGATGAACCCTGGTGTGTGATCCATGCTGGAATCTCACAGATCTTCTCATAATGCAGAAACAGGCAGAGAAACCAATTTCTTGACCACAGGTAGAGAGTGGGATTTGTGTGGGATTCCACAAGGAATACAGGGCAGGATTTCAGACCAGAGCATGATACCAGATCAGGATCAGGTAGAATTCTAAAGTGTATCTGGGCTGCATTCCAGGGTCGGATCAGGTGGGATGGATGGAGCAGCACTGGAGTGGGATTCCAGAACAGGATTGGAGGCATTCCAAAGCAGATCAGGTGGTATTGATGGAGCAGGACTGGGGCACAATGGATACAGTAGGATCTGGTGGGATTCCAGAGTAATTCCTGCTCTCTGTGGGCTCTTCAGTCAGATCCAGACCATGGGATGGGGACAGAGACAGGGTGACACCAACTCTTACTCTCATCCCATCAGGAATAACCACCTGAATGATCCACGGTGCCAGGTCCAACCCCTTCCCTCTCCCTGCAGAAAGCTGCAAATTGCTGGCAGAGCTCCTCCTGCTGTTCCCACCTATCACATAGCAGCCCTTCCCAACAGATTGACTTCCTGTTTCCCCATGTTTTAAACACAAGAATTACAATTATTCCAATTGTTTTAATTCTGATGTGAAAATACCCTGGTTTAGACAATAAATCGCAGTTCCCTCCTCCAGTGCCCAGCACTTCCTATCAGGGAACCAGGAATAGAAAAGGGGACATGGGGAACTGGGATGAAGACACTGGGGATAGGGATGGGGACAGTGGGAAAGGACTGGGGACACCATGAGCTTGGAGTGAGCACAGCAGGAGTGGGATGAGGATATGCCCATGCCCAGATCCATTCCTTGGGATTTATTTCCCACTCTGTGTCCCATGTCCAGGAGCAGACATGGGGACCAGGAATCATGGAGACACAGTGGGGATTGGATACAATAAAGGATACAGGGGACACAGACATCCATGGAATGGGCCGATCTGGGGGACACAGTGAGAACATGGGGGACACAGGGACCAAGGTGACACAGGGAGCTGAGATCCTGAGGATGTGGGGATAAGGGATTCACAGGACACTGTCTGGGGACACCAAGAGCTGGCTGGGGACACAAACACTGGGAATGGGGACACTGGAGCTAATTCCCCTTTATCTCCTGCCAGATGCAGCCCCCTTCTCGCTGCCCAGCCTGGGGGCCTCAGGCTGCCCAGTGCTGTCTCCTCCAAGGAGCAGGCGGCTGTAGGCCCCGCAGCGTTCCCGCAGCTCCGCTGGTGTTCCCGTCTCCACCACGGCTCCGTGCCCCAGCACCACGAGGCGATCGGCCGCATCCAGCACCCGCGGCCGGTGGGACACAACCAGCACGGTCTGGGCCAGCCCAGCACGCACCCAGCGCTGTGCCTGGAGCCAGAGGACTCTCATCCCATCCCATCCTACCCAGTCCCACCTGATCCCACCCAGTCCCAACCAACCAGCCTCACCCCACTGTCCCATTTCTCTCAGTCGCACTCTAACCGCACCATCCTGTTCTTACCATCCCACCTCCCTGTTCTCCATCCAATCCCCTTGCCCACTAAGCCATCCTCTCCACACCATCCCCATCCCCACCGTCCCATTCTATCCTACTCCCACCACCCCAACCCTTCCCATTGCATTCCATCTCTCTGTCCTCATCCCAGCATTCCTATCCCCTCCATTCCCACACCATCTCACCCCACCCTCCCCTATCACATCTCCTTGTCATCATCCCTTGATTCTACTTTCCTGCCATCCTACACCCCTGGTCTCTATCCCGTCCTCACCATTCCCACCTACTATCCTGTCCTATTTCTCCACCTTGTTGACCCACACCACCCCATCCACTCTCTGTCTTCATCACATCATTCCCACTCCATCCCAATCATTATCCCTTATTCCCACCACCCCATCTCTCCAGTCCCTATGCCACCCTCTCATCCCAGCCATTCCACCCTTCCACACCCCATTTTCACCAACTGCACCCCTATCCAGACCAACCCCCTCCATCCCACCCCACTCACCGCTCCCTCATCTCCATCATCCAGTGCCTCGTCGAGGATGAGGACAGCCGGACGCCGGAGCAGAGCCCGGGCCAGGGCCACACGGCGCCGCTCCCCTGCTGCCAGCCGCCCCCCATGCTCCCCCACCTCTGGGGAGCAATCACATGGGATCAGTGGGATCCTGCCCTGGAGTTCTCTCTCTTCTCCCCACCCCTTGTGCTCCCCCCTCTCTAGGGAGGATTTCTGGGATCAGTGGGATCCCAGCCCGAGAGGTCTCCCCACTTTGCCCTACCCCCTACACTCCCTCAGCACCGTGTGAGCAATCCCATGGGATCAGGGGATCTGACCTCAGGGATCCCCCGCACACCACACCATCTGCCACCCACCATGCTCTCCCATCTCTGCCAAGGATACTGGGATCAGGGAGATGTGCCCGAGGGATGCCACATCCCCCCAGCTCTCATCAATATCCCAGCCCCACTCCAACCCCAGGATGAAGTCCCAGGCCCCAGGATTCCCTTGGTATCCCCCAGCTCTCACCAGTGTCCCAGCCCTGCTCCAGTCCCTGGATGAAGTCCATGGCTCCAGCAGCAGTGGCGGCCTCCTGCAGCTCTGACTCTTTGCAGTGCTCCAGCCCCAGCACGACGTTTTCACGGATCGTTCCAGAAAACAGGAGGGGATCCTGCTCCACCAGCACCACCTGCCCCAGCCACAAGCCCTGTGATGCTGTCTTGGCTCCTGGTGTCCCCATCCTTGTTCCATGACCTCACCCCACCTTGGCTCCCCCACAGTCTCCATCCCTGATCCCATTGTCCCCATCTGTTTCCTCACTGTCCCCACCCCTGACTTCCAGCTTTCCATCCCCATCCCTGTCATCCCCATCCCATTTCCCAGTGTTCCATCCCATATCCTCTTGTCCCCATCCTGTTCCTGGTGTCCCCATCCCTCTTCCCAGTGTCCCCATTCCTGCTCCTGATGGCTCCACCCATGCCTCCGTGGTCCCAGTTCCATTTCAGTGTCTCCATCTCATCCCCATTTTCCCCATTCCATTCCCAGTGTTCCCAGTGTCTCTGCTGTCCCCACCTTGCGGTGCAGGTACTGGTGTTCATATTCTGGCAGCGGGATCCCATCCAGCAGCACCGTCCCACTCCCAGGATCCCGCAGCCGCTCCAGCAGCGCTACGGCCGTGCTCTTCCCGCTTCCATTGGGCCCTGCCAGTGCTGTCACCTCCCCAGAACGCACCTCAAAGGTCACGTCCTGTGGGATGGGGACAGGTGATGCCAGAATTCTGACCCCTGGGAAACCCCACCTCCCCCCAGACCCACCTTCAGCACAGGGTGCTCTGGATTCCCAGGATATGTGAAGGAGACCTTCTGAAAAGTGACGTGGCCCTGAAGCTCGGGGGGCTCCCGCGTCCCCCCAAGACTCCCTGTGGGTTTCCGATCCAGGTATTCCCAGATCTTCTGTCCAGCAGCTGCATTGGTCAAGAATTCATTGAAACCATAGAGCAGCACCTGGGGAGAAAGAAGGGCGTGGCACTGGGATGGACAGAAGCACGGACGGATGGACAGACACATGGATTCCATGGGACCACCTGGACATGGCTGCCGATTCTGTCCTGGTACAGCAGGAAGGTGACGAGGACCCCAGGAGTGATGTAGCCATCACGGAGCTGCTGGTGGCTCCGGAACAGCACCAGGACCCGGATGAACAGTTGGAGCACCTGTGGGTGGGAACAGGGATACTGGTGCCCCCAACCCACTGGTGTTCCCATTCTGCCTGTCCCCATCCTATTCCTGGTGTCTTTTATCTCTGTTCCTGGTGTCCTCACCCCTGCTCCTGGTGTCCTCATTCCAGTCCTGACATCCCCATCTCACTCTTGATGTCCCTATTCCTGATCCTGATGTTCCCAACCTTTGTCCCAGTGTCCTCATCCTATTTCTATTGTCACCATTCCCATTCCTGGCAAGCCGGTTCCTGACCCAAATGTTCCTGCTCCCTGTCCCACTATTCCTGGTGTCCCCATTCTGCTCTCAATGCCTCCATCACAGCTGCTGGTTTCCTATTCCTGGTCCCAGTGTCCTCATTCCTAGTATCCCCATTCCCACTGTTTTCATCCCTGATCCTGGCACCCCCATTCCCTGGTGTTCTCACTCCCAGTCCCCCCTGACCCTATGGACAAGGGTGAAGAATGCCAGCTCCAGCTCCATCTGCTCCTTCAGCTTCAGCTCCTTGGCCAGGTTGCACCTATGCTGCTCCTCCTCCTCCTTCTCCGCCGAATAGATACGGATTGTCTCGATGGCGGCAACAGATTCCTGCACCCCTGCGGCTGTCCGGGCGGATGCTTCCATCATGGATTGCTGAAGTGCCTGTGGCAGCAATGGGGGATCTCCAGCATTCCCAGGTCACCTTCCTGGCCCACCATCCTCATCCTGTCACCAGCGTTTCCATCCCACCACACCCACTGCATCCCCACTATTGCATTCCCACCATCCCACATCCCTCTCTCTCCACCTCACCATTCCCATCCATTCTCCCAGTCCTAATCCACCCATGCCCATCCTCATCCCATCCCCACCTTGTCCCTTCCTCACCATCCCACTTTATCCCATCCTTCTCTTCGCATCCACACCATTCCCATGTCCACCATTCCATTCTATCCTCATGTCAGCACTCCCACCATCCCACTCCCCTGGTCTTTATCCCCTTTCATCCCACCATTTCCATCTCCACCATCTTCCTTTCCATTCTCCACCCCATCCCCACTGTCACATTCCCCTAGCCTCCGTCCCAGCTCCACCATTTCCACCCCCTTGTCCCACCTGTGTGTCCCTCTCCCACTCTTTCCCTCCTGTATTCCTGACCTGTTTCCGGGCGCTCTGGATACGGTGGGTGGCGATTCCAAAAGGCACCTCCAGAAGTGCCAGCAGCGCCAGCCCTGGTGCCAGCCCCACCATGAACGTCCCCACCACCACGGCCATTACCAGGCTCCGGAGCAGCTGGTTGGCTCCCATCGGTACTGACATGCACACCCGTGGCACTTCCAGGGAAAACTGAGCCAAGAGCTCAGCTGCAGGGTGGGAAGAGAGGTTGGGATCATGGCAGGTGAGACAGGATGGAAATGATGTGACGGGGACCGGTGGGATGGGATGATGGGAATGGGTGTGGAGATGGTCAGGGTGGAACAGATGGGACAGTGGAGATGGGATGGTAGGAATGGAGATTGTGGGATGGGGTGATGGGATGGTGGGAGGAAGCTGGGGATATGCAATAGAATAGAGGCATGGGAATAAGAATAATAGGATAGAACAGTGGATAGAACGGGAAAGTGGGAAGGGAACAGGATGAGACATTAGAGTAGAATAAAACCAGGAAAATGATGATGGGATGGGATGGGATGGGATGGGATGGGATGGGATGGGATGGGATGGGATGGGATGGGATGGGATGGGATGGGATGGGATGGGATGGGA